TCATCACCAACTCGCCGAGTCCATCCTCCGACTCGCTGAGTCGATCACTTAACACCTGACCAGAATCGCGACTCGACTCACCGAGTCTATCCATCGACTCGCCGAGTCAACCTTCCTCATTTACACTAAGAACCCTGAACTTGCACTTCTGAACTCGGGGCGTTACATTAAATATCATTAAATTTTTGGGAAAATGACACAACGACCCTAAGGGAACAAAGAAAAATGAAAGTTAATCCCTAAAGTTATTTTCTTGCCCTTTAAGAGAACAAAGTTGATGTCGAATTGCTTTTTTGGTCACTACAACCTAATATACCATGTTACCTCATCTCTTCATGGGAATCCTATGTTTTTAGGGTTTTCTCCATTGATGAGTTCTTGGTTCATATTTCAGATTTCACTCAAATCTATCCTTATGAAATCGATTGAATATGGTTTTATGCCCTAAAATTGTTTTCTGTTTTTATAGTTTAATTAATTTTGTATATTTCATATCTATTTTTTTTAAGAACCAGATATTATGAATCGATGGTGTAGTTTGAATTTTCACACATTACACACACATAGAAATCGCACGTATATGCACATAAGTTGGAGGATTGGCAAATTCATCGTGATATGGAAAGGAGGGTCATCATCTATGGTGACAGAGGAAGGTAACAATGACGAAGGAAGGATGAGTAAGTCGTTGAACATAGTGGTTGATCAACAAAGTTGTGTTCTTCTTAGAAACCAAGTCCACCGTCATCGTCATTCCCTTCATACGTAGCTTGTTATCTTCATCCTTCCTCAGCCCATCACATCTCAATTCTGTCGTCACTACCACCTCTCTGAATCTCAAGTAGTGCTTCGATGACCCCACCTTACTCATTTAGTTCTAAAGAAAAACAATGGAAGGTTTCAATCTACCATGTTTCGCTTCGTTTGTACCCACAAGCCTAACCAGGCACCAACGGTTCCTTTGTGTTTGGTCGATCCTCTTCCTTTTATTTCGTTCACGACAATTGAAAACCTCCGGAATCTTGTAACTCTCGTCGTATGGAATATCAGAGGAATATAAATTGGATTTACAGGAGTACCTTGAACATATCTGAAAGATGATTGTAAATGAACTAAAAGGCCCTATTGTTTTTTGTGGCTTGTTTACACATGAAAAAATTGCACTCGTTCATTTTATTTTTATATTTGTATTTAGGACTATCTTTCAAGATAGGAAATAGAAGCAATGATGATCTGGAAAATGTATTTGCCAATTCATTTAATGATGTGGCAGATAGTAACCAGTTTACCCCTTCAGTTCTTACAAAAAGACCAAATCGACCCAACAAAAAACAGTTTGTTCCCTTAAAAACATGAAAAAAAATTAGGGACTGAAATGGTGAAACCGAAATACATAATAGGGCCTTTGCATCATATTTCCTAAATTTTTTGAGTTATATAGGAAACATGTTTACTGTTCAGATCTTTAGGAAACGCACATATCAATTCTGTATATAAGTTCTAATATTTTGCAAATGGACAAACTTGAAACTTAAGCTAACAAATATTAAGTGATTTAAGTGAAATAATTGTGAACCTTCGTTATTATTTGGTAGCATTACCCATCCGAAAAGGAAAGTGATTCGTACACAACAATTTTTATCCGTACATAACAATGCATGCTTTATGGAGTTGTGCATACAATACTTTAATGCACAAATTGTTGTGTATGAAAAAAAATTGTTGTGTATGAATCCGTTCTAATCCAAAAATCATGGGTTGTGTGTTAAAACTAAGGGCGTTTGACAATGAATTTTTTTTGTTTGTCAAATTTCGTGTGGTGATTTTTGTTCGTTCATTTCCAAAGTTTGTAAAAAAAAGATTATATTTGCCGTCATTACTTGTAATAGCAAGTTTATAAGAACGAAACCGACAAATTTGACAAACTTAAGGACTTTCAAGTCAAATATGAAAAACATACTTAGGGTAAAAATTATATATGTAAACTTCAAATTTTTATTTTTTATCGTTTATTTATTTATTTATTTTTATTTTTTTGCAAATTTGTAAAGTTAATGAAAAAAATAACATGACAAAAATTAGGCATTAACAAACCTAAAATTGTCGTAAAGACAAATCTGTCATATTAATATCCTCTTATAATTTGTTCCTTAACTAGTTGTGAAACTCATGTATTACATAAGTTAACTTTAATATATATATATATATATATATATATATATATATATATATATATATATATATATATATATATATATATATATATATAAAGGTCTAAACAATTGATAACTTTGAATTTATAAGAAAATAAGAAAAATACTGAATTATTAAAATTGAATATGTTTTTTATATTTTAAATTTAAACAAATAATTTAAATAAATAAATAAAAGAAACTAATAAACTTTAATTTAATTTTTTTGAAATAAGAAGTAAGCTCATTAATGAAAATGATATTCATTTATTAATATATTTATTGCAATTATTACATTAAAATATTATTATGAAATTTAATAAAATAAGAAAACTCGTAAGATAGTATGTTGGAAAAAAAATAATTCAAAATTACGACAAATTGACATTTATCAAATTGAATGAGAGCATGTCATGTGGAAAAAAAATTATTTATTTCTTAGGGAGGATGGAGTTATTCCTTCCCAACCCACTAAACTCACTGCCACATCATTTTTTTCTCTTTTATTTTTCTTTATCTTTCCCAACGCATAACACAAGGAAACCCTATCTTTTTGAAATCAACTCAACCCACTCAATTAAAAAAAATACAAAACAATCAAAGGTGAAATATTAATTAGCAATAGAGTTATCGGCAGTACCACTCTCATTTCAATGAGTAGGTTGATTGGTTTCACTAATCCACTTCATCATCATCTCTCACTACTTTCTCTTTCTTAATTTCTCTTGTACCATGTGTATTAAAACTTGTACCTTAGTTGTTTTGTTTTTTTTAATTGCGTAGGTTGAGTGGATTCAAAAAGATGTGATTTCCGTGTGTTATGGGTTGGGAAAAATAAATAAAAAAAGAGACAAAAATTCATGTGACAGTGGGTTCGGTGGGTTTAGAAGGAACGACTCCTTCCACCCTTAGAGAGGATATAATCCTAACCAATTAAATGGCGACATATATAATATTTAATGAAATTTAATGATATTTTAAGATATTAATATGACACATATCATCATTTAAATGAGTATAAGAATTGGTAGGAAAAAAAGATAGGAAAATATTTAATTTCTCCTCTTTTGATAGAGATAAACTTAAGGATTTTTTATGTCAAAATACCCTAAAATTAAGTATTCAAAACATCACATACTTATCCACAATTAATCAAGCTATATAAAATTTAATGAATTATTATTGTAGTGTTATTATTTTTACAATTTTAGATTTTAAACTCTACGGCACTTAAATACTTACAAACTTTGATGGAATGGCATATAATTCGATCTCAATTATTGACCTTCCATTGCGGTTAATTGCACGGTTTAATGGTTCATTGTACATTTTGATAGTGATTTAAGTTTCATTGAACATGTATCATTATATCAACCATACTGCATTCAACCACAGTGCATTGAAATTTCATTGTGGATGACCTTAGGTCTACAACCAAATAAAAAACTTCGAATCCCATTTCTATATATTTTATCGTTATATCAACATTTTAATCAAGAAAGACATTTTTACTTGCTAGTTCATGTAATTACTTTGTTTATTTAGGGTTTTGAAAATAGGAAAGAGAAAGGAAAAAATATATGAGAGAGTTATTCAAAGTTCAAAACACACGCTTTCACCTCCTCCACGTTTAGAAATTTCATATCGAATAGACAAATATTCTTAGTTCTCATAGTGCATCACCATATTAATTTGGTCAACAACTCAATCCAAATTGCAACTTGTTTGACAATATATATATATATATATATATATATATATATATATATATATATATATATATATAGAGAGAGAGAGAGAGAGAGAGGTTCATTTGAGACCACCTATATTTTGTGAGACATGGGAACTAAATCTTAGCCTTTGATCAAATTTGATCTTGTGGCTCATAAAAAAAAGGGGATTAACGTTAATTAATCTAGCTGATTAGTTAATTAGGGTAGATTAGTCACTAGGTTAAATTTAAGATGATTAGGTTAGCTTAATTTTCACGTCATCCAGAAATCATCTCACATGTTCCTGTTTTCTACCAATTTATTCGATGAAACAACATTCCTTGTTCTTCAATTCAATTTGATCGATATTCTATCTCCAATCTTATATTCTTTCAACCGATAATCGATTTGATTTGGACATTGATCGAACGATGCTAAATCACAGCTTTTAAATTCACGAATTTTGTGTTCTTCAAGTTCATGTTCTTGATTCTTCTTCATCTGCAATTGATAAGCTGAGTGATTTTGATCAATTTTAACTTTGTGATCATCGATTCCGGTAGAGGTTCAAGTGTTCAACGATTTCTGCTAATCTTCATCTTCAACAATTGTTTACGATCTTTCAAGCCGTGAATTTTACTCAACATCATGAAATCGTCAATTGATCAAGGTTTGAGTTTTCATCGATTTCACTGTTAGTTGCATATAACGTATTCAATTTTTAAACTAGTTCATGAATTGAATCATCAAGCTATTATCGATTTCTCCAATTTTATATTTGTATGATTTGTGATTTCAGCAATCAAACATCATCTGTTGTTGAGACATCCAATTCAGCAATCAAAGATCATTTGTTGCTGAATTTGTTTGAGCTAGAAAACAATTTAATCTATAATATGTTATTTGACAATGCATCATCTATTTCATTGTTTGTTTTTTAACTTTCATTCAATCATTATGTTTTTCAGCAATATGTCATTTGTTTTCTTTTGATTAACATCATCTATTTGCTTTTCATTAACATCATCTTAGTGATAAGTTCATGGGACTGCATGTTATTCTTATAGAATATTGTACATACATTGATATATCAATAATGATAACAGTTATGGATGATTTGGATATGCATGACATCGAAAACAATCATCTCAATGAAGAAAATCATCAGTTCAGTTCTACTGATTCAGAGATTCTTCATAACGAGGAAAATCAATCGGAAACCCAAGGTAATTATTGCTTTCATTTTTAGTTGCATATAACATATTCAATTTTTAATATAGTAACAGTTATGTATGATTTAGATATGAATGACATCGGAAATGATCATTACGATGAAGAAAATCATCAATTCAGCTCTGGTGATTCAAAGATTCTGCATAATGATGGAAATCAATCGGAAATCCAAGCTAATTCTGTTACTGATATCGGTTATTCTTTATAGAATGATGTTGGTGATAAGTTCATGTTACTGCATATTATGCTTATAGAATAATGCACATATAACATTGTGGTTTTTTATGATTACAGTCATATGAATGCAAATTATTCTAAGTATATGTTAACATGGTGGTATATTCTTTTTTGTAGTTCAAAGTGACAATGTTGCAGCACAATATGGCTCTTGCAAACAATTCATTGGAGCTGATGGTTCTTTATTTTGGATTCCAGAGGTTGAAGCTAGTTGGATACCTACTTTGGGTTCAATTTTTAAAGATATCAAAGATGCTATTTAGTGGTATAAAGGATATGCATTAAGATCTGATTTTGATATTAGAAAATCAACAGAGAGGAAAAAGAGTGGAATCACAACTTCGAAATATTTTATATGCAATAGAGGGGGATTGCCAAACACTTCTACCTTAGACACAATTAGTGATGATCATAACAAACAATTGAGAAATAGTAATTGTAAACGCACAAATTGCAAAGCTTTTATTGCATTCAAAGTTATACCACATTCTTCAGAAGTTTACCTGTGGCGCTTTGAACAACAACACAACCACAAATTGATCAATCAAGATTGTATGCATCTTTCAAGAGCTAAACGTCAGTTGAATGTTGTTGATCAATCTTTTATACATAAGCTTTCGAGTGCAAAGGTGGGGGCAACTACAACATATAGGCTAATGTGCGTTATAAAAGGAGGATGTGAATTTGGTGATGGACTAGAGATAGATTGGAAAAATTTTACAAGGGATATAAATTGTCACATCAGGGGCACTGTTGCAAATTTGTTGATTACAAAAGCTTCAGAATCGTAAAGAGAATGTTACAAATTTTACATACGAATACAAATGTGACAAGAAGCAGTTAAATGCTCTCTTTTGGGCTGATGACACTTCAAAACAAAACTTTGAGTTATTTGGGGACGTTGTTTCGTTTGACGCAACATATCGTACAAATAGGTATTTATTCTAGAATTATAAACATTTTTAGTGTTATATTCTAATGGTATTTTTTTTGTGTTTTTTTAGGTATTGTATGGTATTTGTACCTTTTACTGGCATTGATAATCACAAAAGGTGTGTCACTTTTGGAGCTGGTTTGTTGTGTAGAGAAGATACAAATTCCTATATTTGGTTACTTCGGTCATTCTTGAAGTGTTTTGGAAAAGCACCAATCATGGTCGTGACCGATCAAGATCCAGCAATGAAAAAATCTATTGAGATACTATTGCCATACACAAAACATAGATTTTGTATGTGGCATATCACAAGTAAACTTCCATTGAAGGTACTAACATTATTCTTATATTCTTATCAGTATAAATATGACATTATTTTCAATATAAATATGACATTATTGTTCTTTTCTTATCAAAATATTCTTATTAGAATATTAAATGAAATATTTTTTGTAATTAGGATAATAGATTAAATGAAATGCATTTTTATACTATATTATATTCTAACAGAATAATATATGAATTGTTTTTGAAGGTAAGCTGGGAAACAATGAATGAATCGGATATTAAGGCGGACTTCAATAGTATAGTATGGGACTCCAAAATTTCTGTCAATGATTTTGAAATGAGATAGGATGCATTAATGGTAAAATATAAGTTACAAGACAATAAATGGATGAAAGATATGTTTGATTTGAGAAGCAGTTGGATTCCAGCCTATTTTAAAGATGTACCGATGTCAGGTCTAATGAGAACAACTTCTTGGTCGGAAAGTGAGAATTCAGCATTCAATTGGGTACTGCATCATGGTTATACGTTAAACAATTTCATGAATGCTTTTGAGTCTGTTATGGAAAGGCAAAGGAATAATCAGATCAAATTTGATTTTGATACATCTACTATAATTCTAATCATCAAAACACCTCTTGAAGATATGGAGAAACATGCATCTATGGTATACATTAGGACTATTTTTCAAATGGTGTAGAGGGAGATTCTTCATTCACTTGTTTCTTGTTCACAGAAGAATGTTACATCAGGCGTTGTTTCTGACATATGCATTGTCAAACATAAAAGGACAAATATATCAAAGAAGAAGGTAGTAGTTGAGAAAAAAGAAAAAGTTGACATCGATTCTGAATAGAAATTTAACACAAGTGAAGGTGATTTTGAGGTAATGTTGACATTTTAGAATATACTTAATATTCTAATAAGTATATTCTTAATATTGACATTTTAGAATATACTTGAGGTGATTTTGAGGTAATGTTGACATTTTAGAATATACTTAATATTCTAATAATTTTGAAAAAATATTCTATTTTTTCTTTTTTGAATATACTTATTATCCTAATACTTTTGAAACAGGTTGAATTCAACAGAGAAGATCTAACGGTGAAATGTTCATGCATGCTTTTTGAGCGGTTTGGAATTTTTTGTAGACACATCTTCTATATTCTAAAGATTTATGACATACAAGAGATTCCGTCAAGATACATTCTTAAGAGATTGATAAGAGATATTATCCCCACCACAGTTTTGAAAAGGACGTTTAGATATGGTGATTCGTCTGGAAATGTTGAGAAGGTTGCATACAAAGCTTTTTCCATGCTTCATCAATGCTTGTCTTCATTAAGTAATGATGACAAGAAGTTAGAAGAGTTCATGCAGAAGCTTCAAGTTTTTATGACTGATATTGGTGAACAAGGTTCAGACAAATTACCGGTTACAAAAGAAGCTCATATTGATAAACTTTACGGAGCTACTACGAATCCTGAAGTTGTTGATGTTGAAAATCCACCTATGGTGAAGAATAAAGGTTCTGGTACAGGAAAACGTTTAAAAAGTGCTTTGGAGAAGGCTACTATTCAAGGTAACAAGCAATCAAGATCATGCAAAACATGTGGGGTTAAAGGGCATAATTCAAGGAAATGTTTGACATTGTTGAATAACTCCAAGGTACAAAGTGCATAGTTGTGTCTAGAAATATATTTCTATTTTTTTCGTATTTCAATAAAGTTCAATAATACCATATAGATAAAAGTTTGAATTTTTTAGTTTGGACATTTTTCTATTGTTTTGGTTTGTGATGATGTATGAGACATTTGGGTTGTGATGATGTGTTATACATTTGAGAACATATTGATTCTTCTAATATTTTCAATCTTTAACTTTTTGAAGTATATATGAATGATTGCAGTATAATGCTTTGTTATCAAAATATTATAATACAAGATTATGCATGTAAGAATGTTATATAGGTATATGCAACATCTAATATTATTCTAATAGAATACTTATGCCATTATACATTATTCTATTAGAATATTCTACCATGGTCATTAAGAAGTGATCATAATACCTACTATACATTAAGCAGTAATCACCTAATAAACCATATCAAGTTTCTTACATAATACTAGGCATCATTTTTTTTTTGTCTAATTTGTTCAAAATAATATAGATATTAGAAAAGGAATTGTTGTTAAGTCACCATAACCACATTTATAAAATTCCAAACTTCTATCAAATTCTATTTACTACCTATTTCCAATTCATCCATTCTTTGGATACCTTCCTCTAACATCTTTTTTCTAGTCGCATGATCAAATTTTCGAAATTCGATTGCCTCTTTGATAACTCTCTCCTTGTGGTTGTTGATTTCATGTGTAGCAATCTTAACAGAATATAAGGCACGTAATTTTACAAATTGAACATCTTGCACATCACTACCTTTTTCCATTCCCACATTCCACTTTCCTTGCTTTTCTCCACAATATTTTTCCATATGTCTCATTAAAAGTGCTCCATTCTCTATTGTCAACTTCTTTGTGTTCCAGTCAATTTTCATCATCTTCACTGTTGTTGATAGCAAACCTTCGATTTTATTGACGATAAATGTAGTATTCTTCAAATATCGTATAAAGTACAATTTCTGCAATGTATATTAACAAAATTACATTATTCAATCTATTATATTGTAACTTTAATACATTTAATAAAAGTAAATGAAAACTTACTAATGATGTTGGTGTCATTCCATAAGTTTCTTCTAACGATTTTGTTTGTATGATGTCTATAATATGAACATGTGGATATGTTAGGTTGAAAACAACAGCATACATCTGATCACCATTATGTATTGGGAAAACCACTTGCAATTCCAACAAATTCATCAAAAAGTTAACATAATTCCTATCCTTTAATAATGTAATATTTTAATTAATAAAATATTCTTACGAGTTTAAGATCATTGAAATCTATATTTGCCTTGAAATTAGATAGAAACATATCAACACGAGTCTCAAAAGTTAAAAAACGCTCGTCAAATAATTTAGTTTCATCTAACAACTCAGAACTATGTAAACATAGAAAAACAGAAAAATTAGAATATCTTGTTACAATTTACAACTAAAATATAGAAGTTCCGATTGTAAAAGAATTTACCATAATTTGGTATTGAAGAACAGGCGGTATGGTTTACTTTTTTATTTTTGTTCCTCGTAATTTAGAACAGCAGCCCAAGAATCAATCACACGATGATGTATAACATGTTCAGGTCGCATGCTCTCAAAATCCTGTCTGTGCATAATCTCTCCCGTATTTGTTTCAAAAAGTACCTCCCTTAATTTTAAACATGAACAAAAAATATGTCATCAACATTAGAATAAATATACACATGTATTATACCAAGAGTTAGTGACTTACATTCTATTTTTCTCTTGTGCACATCTTATTAGAACCTGAATCAAAAGAACATTCTGCAAATCGATTCTATCAAATAAATTCACAGCTTTATCCATATATGGTGATTTGTAAGAACTTATATCATTCTCCCCTGTGTCACCATTTTGAGATTCAACCCTTTCATGTGATCCCTTTTTTTGTTTCATGGTTTTGATTATCAGCACTTGGAAAAATAGGATCTGAAAATAACTTAATGAACTTCTCTTTCAATTCATTTGTTATATTGACATCTGGGAACTTTGATATACAATCAGAAACAATTCCATACATGTCCTCTTTTCTTGATGAAACTTTATTGAACATCTTATCAAAGTTATCTTTATATTCCTGAAAAATAATAAAATAATAGAATTATGAGCATGTAATATTTTATCATCTCAGAATATCTAGAATATTTACTATGAACCATAAGCATGTAATATAAGAATATCCAGATTTTTATAAAATCATACTTTAACCTAATATAAAAAGACATTAGAATATTTTTCTTATATTAAGTTAGGATATAATTAAAATATATTCTAAAATATAATTTAATAATATATTCTACTTAGAATATACCTCAATACGTGTGTCCTGATTCTCATTCACCTGATTTTCATTCTTATCAAGTTCTAAATTTGAACTTTGTTCAATTAGATTCCCAACCCCTAATCCACCAGCTTCAATCTCAAAAGATTGTCTTTCCTTTAACTTATCTGCTGTCTACATCGTAACTAATGGTGTTTTACGTTCTATTTTTTGGAGCTTGCATTCAATTTCATCACAGTAAATTAGCTGCATTATTTCAACATCATATTAGATATCCATTTTTAAGAAAAAAAAAATAAGTATATGAAAAAACATACCAATAGCAACAACATCGGGCCTATATAATAACACTTGGGGTTCTCTGGACGCCATCTCCCTTTTGAATTTTTCACACAGTACAACAAATATGCACACCAATCGATTTTAGAAATGTCATCTACTTCAACAAGTGCTCTAACTGGAACTAAGTTGTTTGTCCCCATAGGAATGGATTCTGCAAACGTATTAACAAATAAAGCTATGAAACCCAACTTGAAATTCATATCCACTTGTTCGGATTTTTGAATAATCTTCTTGTAGTTTGTTGCATTTGCCTTTCCGTCTTCAAGTTCCTCCATCCATCCATCAAACACTTGATGATCTTCACTAACCTTGTCCAAGTCAAATAAGCTTTTTCCAGTTTTGGGTAAACCAAACACTTTATGAATTTTTTCCTTTGTGATCTTTATTCTTTTTCCTTTAATCAAAATACTGTTTGTGCCTTCATCATAATGCTTAAGCACAAAATGGCAAAGTTTTAAGGGAATACTCTTAATGTTGATCTTTAAAAATGCTTTAAATCCCATCCGTTTCACCCAATCTTTTTGTTCTGATGTCAAAGAACTTACAACATCTGTCATCAATCCAGGTGTCGATCTAGTGTTTATTGAAGGCAACTCCTTCAATATATCTTTCACAGTGTTTTGCTCTTTCACGATTTTTTGTTTCTTTATTGCTGCACGATTGTCCCCACTATTCCTCTTCCTTTTTGCTTCTTTAATCTTTGTCACTCCTTCAACATATTTTCTATCACCGATTCTCTTTTTTACATAAATTTCTTCATCAGATTCATCATCTAATTCATTACATCAGTCATAGATGTTAGTAACCCTACAAAAATCCAAAAATCATATATCATTTAATTACAAAGTAATATTCCAAACAGAATATTATAAATATACACTTATTATATCAGAATATTCTATGAAATTTAATCCAAAAATACTATATCATCTAAGTAAAATGTAGATATTTATTCAACTTATATTATTTATAAAAAAATTAAACTCAAATGTTGGAAAATCCTATATCAGCTAAGTAAAAAAAAAAAAAAAAAAAAAAATCAAGTATAACATGATTTATGATATAACAATATATAGAATGTGTAATATGAACCATAAATATTTCATATCATAGAAACATACTTTCACATCAATAAACAATAGAAAAATACTTTCACATCAAAATACCAAGAATTTCAGTTATGATCCATAAGCAATTCATGTCAAATATAATATTGTTCCATAATATTGGAATTGTAAAGTATAAAATCATAATGATGTAAAATGCTTCTGCTAACTCTAATTGTAACTGCATAATCAATAATAAAAAATATGAATTTTACCTATATATGACATTCTTACTATTAGAATAACATTAATATACAAGATATTATAGTACAAATACAATAATTGATGATATACCTTTTTTTTTTCTTTGGCTTTTGCTGTTGTATTGGCTTATTCATCAATAAGCTTCAATGATTTTCTTCTTTCAATTAGTCGTTCGACTATTGAAGTTTTTTCATGAGTTTTATCCATATACAACCTTCTTGCTGTTTATTGTCATTTTCATAATCAAATTAGGAAATAATAATTGATTTATCATATCTAAATATCTAGAGTAACATTTAAAAATATTCTATTAGAATAAGATTAATAGAACATAGAAAAACATTAATAGAATATAGAATATTTTATTGTAATACATAGAATAACATAAACAAATGAGATAAATATTTTATTATAAAACATTGAATACACAATATATCATTTATTCTTTTATATTCTATTATAATACATAGAATAGTTTATTAAAATATATAGAATAACATAAACAAATTAGATTAATAATTAAAAATATTCTATTAGAATAAAATTAATAGAATATAGACAAATAATAATAGAATATAGAATATTTTATAATAATACATAGAATAACATAAATAAATGAGATAAATATTTTTATTAGAATAGAATAATTGATGATGTACCTTTTTTTGTTTTTCTTTCGATGTAGTAGTTGTTAATTGATTGATCGACTTCGATGATTTTCTTTTTTGAACCAACTGTTTGCTTGTTGAAGTTTCAACTTCACTATTTCTACCCAGTGTCATCATTTTTATTTTTGATTTTGTCATTCTTGTTATAATACTATCTGCATGAAAATAATTAATGTTAAATACAATTTAATTGTAATCTATAATAGAAAAACACTTACATTTATTTCAAAATTATATTCTAACTCATCATAATACATACACACAAAGAAAACAGCATATAAAGATACACGTAATAAATTTAAAGCAAATTGACCAATATACCCTTGCACTATTTCTTTATGAGATTAAAATTACTCGAATTTTCTATAAACACAGTTACATACATACACATTAAAAACAGAAGCAAATTGATGAATATGTCCCTGTACATAGTATTTTTTTTCCATCGACTTACCCTAGTGATGCTTGACTTAACCATGCATAAAGTTTATACAATGATTAAAGTTTTGCGTAAAAGAACAGTTAGAAGTTGAATCACATAGTAAGATGTCAAAAGTGGAATGATAACTCTCTATTTTATCAGAAAATGCATAAAACACATATAATAACTTGATTGTTAATTACACAATTTTGTTTTTGTTTATGTGATGAGTTCTATAGTAATTTAGATCAAGTTCTGAATTATTAGAGGACATAATATGAAATTGTTTAATGGAAAAACTTTATTATTCTTATTCAGACCAAGACCGCCAGGACCAATACCATGAGAAAGTTTCTTTTCATATCTGCCTCAAAAGCACTTGTTTCTATTTCCTTTTTCACATACACACAAAATGTCAAAAGTAATAAATAAATGTGTTTGGTTGGAATCAAAACTGAATGCCCCTGCAAATAGATGAAAGGCTAAAGCTTTATTTATCATTAATCCAAAGAATCCCACATAAGAATGTATTAAATGTAATATAAGTAGGGCATATTTTTGTTATAAATACATACTCAAACAACACAAAAACGCTCATATTCTCAGCTGTGAAGCCTTTGTCTCATTGTTTGTGTTGAGTATTTCACTAAGAAAGAAGAGCTTGATGCCCTAATTATTAGTATGTAGATATGGAGACTGGAGGAACAATAGAAGGTCAATTCTCAAAGCTATATCGCCGTTTTCAAACGGACTCAAGGATATAAATGATAATTAACAGAACTATTGAAATACCTGGAATTTCTTGAGAAGTTATGGTAATAATGGCATTTAGGTGATCTGATGGTGTAGATTCTGAAGCACGTGTTGATGTAGCCATTTTCGTTAATAAGAAATACTCAATAAGAATGAAATTAAGTAAGTTTAGGGTTTTATCGATGTTATCAAGTGAAAATCGGATTCACAACATCGAAAATTGAAATTGATACAGGGAGAAATCGAAGATGACGAGTTCAAGAGCACAAGAAGTTACGGTTTTGATGGAGTGTTTAAAACCGAAAATGATAAGAAGTTTTGGAAGAGGGTTTTGAGAATACAGATGAAGAAATTGAGTTTTTTTATTTTAGTGCTCTTCCATCGTGCATAAGTATAAAATCTCAAAGTTATTACGTTTGTCCCTTTTTCGTCCTTGGAAAATAAGTCCTAGTATTTTTAGTCCCTTTTAATTTAAAAACTTACAGTTTGGTTCAAATATTATTTTAATTGTAAAATAAAATTACTTAATTACAAATATTCTAAAACAAATATTTTCATTTATTCTAAAATTTTACTTCTACTAATAGAGACAATGTATTTTTTTTTCTAAAGTATACTAAAACTTTATTATCATAATTTTTTATTATTGTAACATGATACTAAATCTAATTTCATTTATTCTTTTTATTAAAATATTGTAAAACAAAATTACATATTATATTAAAACGTTTTATTATTAAGTATTTTAATGAAACCAGAATAATCAGAGTAGTTCACATAAAACAAATTAGAATAAGCTTAATACAATATTACCAATATGTGTTTTAATCATTTATCATTTTACCACACAATTTTTTAATCAAATAAATAGGCATCATCAAACAAAAAGTTTAAACGTTATATATCATTTACTATTAAGCAGTAAATATTTTATCAAGATACCAACTAACTCGTTTAAGCATATCATTTACCAAAATATCAATGGTTTAAGCATATCCTCAAACATAAGCATTTGAAAAAAATAGAAAATAAAATGTCTGTATGTAATAAGCCAATATAAGAAATTTTCAAACTTTCTTCATTTCCAAATGGTCTCTTGCTTCACTGCCTTCTTTCACCAACATATACCTATTTTTCTTATCAGGTTTTCAAAATTCCAATGCTTCTGTAACATTCAATTTTCTCTGCTTGTTGATTTGATGGTTTGCTAGCTTAGAAACATAAAATGTACGCAACTTTGCAATCTTCTTAGATGTCCTAACACTTTCTTCTCCCAGTTCCACATCCCATTTTTCTTCTTTCTCACCCATGTATTTTTCCATATGCCTCATCAAAAATATACCATCATCATTTGTCTTAGTTTTTGTTTGCCATGCCGTTTTCATTTTCTTTGGCTTCATAGATTTAAACAAAGAAACCTTATCCAGCCGATTGTTGTCCAAAAACTTTGAAAAGTACATTTGCTGCAATGCATATTAATAAAATACCATTATTTTTCTAAAATGATAACTATATTAAGTAAATAGATCTTATAAGAATATAAATATTATATTTTATATTCTAATCAGAATTTATTTAGTAATACAGAGTGGTTTTTTAAAGTAAACAATTATGATTAAAATAAACCTTTTAGATTTATGCAAGAAACATTTACCACAAGTTTAGGAATCTCTCCATAGATATCTTCTACTTTTTTGGTGTATCTTATGTTGTCAATGATTATATGTTCTGGATTTGTAAGGTTGAAAAGAATACAATAAAAATAACCACGGTTGTGTATTGGAAAAAACACCTGTAGTTCAAACATAAATACAAATGAATTTTTATAAATTTTAATATGAATATGTTATCTTGTAATCAAAAATACATACCAGATTAATAGAATTGAAATCCACTTTTCTTTTGATATCATATAAGTAATTGTTTACAGCCTCATCAAAAAGTCGGGATCTTTCAACAAAAGGTATTGAAGAAACCAATAATTTTTTTGTCTGTACATATAGAACAATAGAAATATTATAATACATTGTTACAAATTATAATTAGAATATAGAAAATAAATTTAAAAATTAAGTACCATAATTTGAGTGTTGAAGAAGACACGTGGTGGTGATTCTTTGTTTCTCAGGTTTTCTTCTTCAAAATTAAGAACAGCAGCCTAACAATCAATAACGAAAGGATGTATCTTATGATTTGGAAGCATACCCTTAAAATGCACCCTATTCATTATGTCTCCAAACTCAGTTTCAAACAGCATTTCCCTTCAAACAAAAATATTGAATTGTAGTTAAAATATTCCAATAAGAATATTACACAATGATGAATTTACTTACATTGGATCTTTGTCTGCAACGCATCTAAACATGATTTGCGCCATTATCTCTTGCTCAGTAGTGACTTTTTCACTTAAGTCAATTACCCTATTCACAAAAGGTGATCTAAAAATATCTGGATTAGTCACCTTCCTTTTCCCTCTTTCATCCACATTCTTACCCTTTTTCCCTTTCTCATCTAAAATATACTCTTCATTCCCTTCTAATTCTCCATCTTCATCATTACCCTCAGAATTATCACCAGTTTCTGCATTGTTCATTAGTTGGGTTATTTGAAGATCAAAGGAAGGAAATTCTGAATTTTCAAATGTTAGCTTTTTCGAAACAAGAGATCTGACAACTGGATTTTGAATTGTATTTGAATCTAGATTTCTGCTTGAGAATATTCTAAGCAAATCCTCATCCATTTTTCCTATGAATGAATCAGACGAAGGGGAAAAATCAATAGATATACCTTTTGGATTGTGTTTTGGTGTAACAATTGAGCTCTCACCTATGTTGTCTCCAACCACCTTGTCTACAATATTCCCCTCCCTAATATTCTCCCCACCAATCATTTCACCACCCTCAACAAGATTTTTGCTCTCAACATTGTCTCCTAAAATTTTCTTTTCAATAGTCTCGTCTATATTATTCACCTCTAACGCCAAATTTATTTTGTCACCAACATTTATGCCTTCAAATTCTATTTGTATTTCTGGATTATGTGGATGTCTAAACGTTTCCACGCCAATATTATTCTCAAAACCCAAATTTATTCAGTCATCAACATTCATATCTTGATCTTCTTCTTGTGTTTCTTCATTCTCTGGAAACTTCTGTTGTAATGGTTTAACAGCTAAAAATGCAACCAACTTTGTATTCATTCTTTCATCTTTATCATCATCAGAATCAAAAATGTTTGTTTTATTAAGCTCTTCATCTCTATCTACTTTGACTTCAGTTCTCTCCTTAACAATTTCTGATTTCTCTCGACTAGAAAAATGTGTAGTTGAAAATATTTCTCTAAACTTTCTTATCATCTCCTTCGTTCTATTGTCTTCAGGGAACTTCGATAGACAATGAAAAATAATATCTTCCATATCATTCTTTTCAGTTGAGACATTGCTGAAATTTTTTTCATACTTTTCTTCATACTCCTGGGAAAAAAAGACATTAGAATATTTTTCTTATATTAAGTTAGGATATAATTAAAATATATTCTAAAACATAGTTTAATAATATATTCTACTTAGAATATACCTCAATACGTGTGTCCTGATTCTCATTCACCTGATTTTCATTCTTATCAAGTTCTAAATTTGAACTTTGTTCAATTAGATTCCCAACCCCTAATCCACCAGCTTCAATCTCAAAAGATTGTCTTTCCTTTAACTTATCCGCTGTCTACATCGTAACTAATGGTGTTTTACGTTCTATTTTTTGGAGCTTGCATTCAATTTCATCACAGTAAATTAGCTGCATTATTTCAACATCATATTAGATATCCATTTTTAAGAAAAAAAAATAAGTATATGAAAAAACATACCAATAGCAACAACATCGGGCCTATATAATAACACTTGGGGTTGTCTGGACGCCATCTCCCTTTTGAATTTTTCACACAGTACAACAAATGTGCACACCAATCGATTTTAGAAATGTCATCTACTTCAACAAGTGCTCTAACTGGAACTAAGTTGTTTGTCCCCATAGGAATGGATTCTGCAAACGTATTAACAAATAAAGCTATGAAACCCAACTTGAAATTCATATCCACTTGTTCGGATTTTTGAATAATCTTCTTGTAGTTTGTTGCATTTGCCTTTCCGTCTTCAAGTTCCTTCATCCATCCATCAAACACTTGATGATCTTCACTAACCTTGCCCAAGTCAAATAAGCTTTTTCCAGTTTTGGGTAAACCAAACACTTTATGAATTTTTTCCTTTGTGATCTTTATTCTTTTTCCTTTAATCAAAATACTGTTTGTGCCTTCATCATAATGCTTAAGCACAAAATGGCAAAGTTTTAAGGGAATACTCTTAGGGGTTGTTTGTTTTTTTTGTGAAGAGCTGCGCAACCACTTTTGTCTGCGCCGCGCAGACATATGCCCTCGCAGAGTGTTTGTTTTTTGGAAGTGTGCAGACCAAAAAACATCTGCGCGAGGTCTTTCTGGCGCAGACATGGGTCACTGTCTTCAAAGGTCTTCAGACCTCATTTTAACCAAAAAAAAAAAGACCACCCATTTTTTTTTCTTTCTCTTTTTGCTGAAAATGCATTTTTAATCTTTATGACATGAAATTAAGTTTGAAAAAATAATTTATTTCAACAGCTGCAGATGTTAAAAACAAACAGTCTTCTTATTGCAGACTGCAGACATCTGGTCCACCTCTTCTGCCACAGAGGCTTGCAGATGTGGTGCGCAGACTGCAGACATTTTGGCTTCAAAAAAATAAACAACACCTTAATGTTGATCTTTAAAAATGCTTTAAATCTCATCCGTTTCACCCAATCTTTTTGTTCTGATGTCAAAGAACTTACAACATCTTTCATCAATCCAGGTGTCGATCTAGTGTTTATTGAAGGCAACTCCTTCAATATATCTTTCACAATCTTTTGCTCTTTCACGGTTTTTTGTTTCTTTATTGTTGCACGATTGTCCCCACTATTCCTCTTCCTTTTTGCTTCTTTAATCTTTGTTACTCCTTCAACATATTTTCTATCACCGATTTTCTTTTTTACATAGATTTCTTCATCAGATTCATCATCTAATTCATTACATGAGTCATAGATGTTAGTAACCCCACAAAAATCCAAAAATCATATATCATTTAATTACAAAGTAATATTCCAAACAGAATATTATACATATACACTTATTATATCAGAATATTCTATGAAATTTAATCCAAAAATACTATATCATCTAAGTAAAATGTAGATATTATTCAAATTATATTATTTATAAAAAATTAAACTCAAATGTTGCAAAATCCTATATCAGCTAAGTAAAACAACAAAAAAAATCAAGTATAACATGATTTATGATATAATAGTATATAGAATGTGTAATATGAACCATAAATATTTCATATCATAGAAACATACTTTCACATCAATAAACAATAGAAAAATACTTTCACATCAAAATACCAAGAATTTCAGTTATGATTCATAAACAATTCATGTCAAACGTAGTCTATGAAAACTATTCTTCGAAACACTCTAATATTTATATTCTTCCATAATACTGGAATTGTAAAATATAAAATCATATTTCACGAAAAAAAAAAAAATTTAGATTATTTTACCCGTTAACTGTGTATATGATTCTGTCTCTGATTCTGTTGAAGAATCAGAAACATGTTTTTTGTTTTTGTGCTTCACATCATTATGGATTAATTTGTTGTGGCGCTTGAAATGTTTTTTGACTTTTCTTTTTTTCTTTTTATTTACTTTATCTGCATCAATAATTATTCTATTAGAAAAATATAATATACTTTTATTGGATGTCAACATTTATATTATAAAAAGACAACATATTTTACCATATTCATCACTCTCTGTTGTGGATGTCTCTAACTCTGATGTCTCTCACTGTGAAGATGAAGAATCTGAAACATAGTGTCTTTTTTTCTTTTCAAGTCTTTTCTTCTTTTTTGTATTTTTAGCTGTATGAAGAAATTTAAAAATTGAAATAAATTAGAATATTTATTTTAATCAACTTTAATGTTCATAATAATCAACCGAAAAAAATAAATCCAAAAAATTTATTTTGTTAAATGTTTTAAAGAATGATTATTGATACCTTTTTTAATTCTTTTTCTATGATGTGAGGATGAATCAGAAGAAGAATCAGAGTCGCTTTCATAAGTAACAACGTTTTTTTTTAAATTTTTTTCTTTGATTTTCCTTCATGTGCCTTCTTTTTCTTTTGATTTACAATATGCAAATCTTTTATCATGAAATTTAACAATTAAAATCAATTAGAATATATGATAAAACAAAATTAGAATATTCAAAATAACTAACTTAGAAAAATAGATCCAAACATTTGTTTTTTTTATGAATTATTTGAAAGTGTGTTCATACCTTTTTTTAACCTTATCTTGACTCGCTGAATTTGTATGAAGAAAATTATCAAATAAAAACAATTATAATATTTATTAAAAGCATTTAGAGGTTAATAAAAGCAATTAAAACATTTAATCTAAAAGTAATCACAATTTATACCTATATCGATATAAATTTCTTTCCCTATTTTTCTTACAGTTGCATTTGTTTGCACTTTTTTAGCTGCATCAATAACAACAAATTCCATTAGAATTTGCAAATCTTTTGTCATGAAATATAATAATTAAAATCAATTAGAATATATGATAAAAAAAATTAGAATATTCAGAATAACTAACTTAGAAAAATAAATCAATTAGAATATATTAGTTTATGATATATAATCTGGTCACAGTTCTACAAATACATAACAACAAATTTATATTTATCAATCAACATAAGATCTGTCTTCTTTTTCTTTTGATTTACAATTTGCAAATCTTTTGTCATGAAATTTAACAATTAAAATCAGTTAGAAAAATAAATCCAAACATTTGTTTTTTTATATGAATTATTTGAAAGAAAGTGTGTTCATACCTTTTTTAACCATATCTTGACTCGCTGAATCTGTATGAAGAAAATTATCAAATAAAAACAATTAGAATATTTATTAAAAGCATTTAGAGGTTAATAAAAACAATTATATTATTTAATCTAAAAGTAATCACAATTTATACCTATATCGATATAAATTTCTTTCCCTGTTTTTTTTACAGTTGCATTTGTTTGCACTTTTTTACCTGCATCAATAACAACAAATTCCATTAGAATTCATATTAGTTTATGATATATAATCTGGTCACAGTTCTATAAATACATAACAACAAATTTCTATTTATCAATCAACATAAAATTCACTAGGATACAAAGACTTTTTTTTGGCTAAACACTATACTACAATCATAATAAGAGATTTGTGTTACCAAAATCTATAGTATTAGACAATTTATGGATCTAAATCTAATTAAATGATGAACAATTAGTTAGAATAATATAACATCTTTGCTGATTTTGATTAAGAATATTTAGATCAAATGAAATGGGGAATAATTAGAACACTCTGTAGAGTTAACATATAGATACATACACTCTATATAAATCACACACTAAGATTTAGGTTTAGATTGTATGCTTTATAATGCTATATTCCATTACATCCTAACTTTGACATATAAATCGCTAGTGAACTATCTCGATTATTAGACATTTATTGAATACACACAACGATTTAAAGTGAAAAAACTTTCTATAATAAGAACAGATAGGTTTATTGAGTAAGAACAAGAGGTTTGTAGTATTATACTTACTTGGAACAGTTGTTGATACAAAATCAGAATCAGAATCTGTAGAATGAGCCATTTGATTCGATATCAAATTCAAAATCAAAATGTTTTTAATGTTCTAGTTGATTATCGAGTGGTTTTCGTGTAATAATCGGAAGATGAATTTTAGGTATAATCAGAATCAGAGTCTGAAACAATGATCGAGATTTGGAAGCAGAACGATAATCGAGATTTGGATCAAATGGGTTTTAGGGTTCGTGCCGGGTGTTTTTGTGTGTTGAAAGAAAAAGAATGCAAAATTTCATTCATGCCCCTCCGTGTCTTGATCTAATCCCAAAGTTCCATTAATTTACAAAATTGCCACTGCCTATTTTATGGTTTAATCTGAATTAATATTAGCCTTTGATTATTTAGGATGAGTGATCAAGATTTTGTCTCCCCGTCTCACAAAATCAAGTGGTCTCACATGAACCTAACCCTATATATATATATATATATATATATATATATATATATATATATATATATATATATATATATATATCACTTTTTTCTCTCAAAACCTACATGCTTAAGCAAGGGAGCTTAACTTCAACCTTTATTGGCTAGAGATATTAGTCTAAGTGCAATGACTACATAAGCTCTCCTGGATAGATTTTAGGTACACGCTGCAAAACTTATTATTCCATATAAACTACCAGATTACCTTTTCATAACTCATGACTTTTCACTAGAAATGGGAAGCTACAAATATACTAAAACTTGTATTGGCTCAATTAAACATTTGAGCTCTCATCGGATCCTCCCACATAACACTAGCAACTTAAGTTTAAATTATTACTAGATTCAATTATTAGATTATTATTTCAAATCTATTCCTAAAATTTTTAAATTTCCTAATTTTCTAGCAATTTACTTTTTTGACCCCCTACCCTACACTTATTACATACAATGCCCTCATTGTATGCATACAATAATATAAAAGCAATGAAAAGGGAGAAAAAAGAACAGACTCCCCTTGGGTAGTAGTGGCAAGATCGAATTCTTCACGTGTGGATAACTTGAACATCTTGAACTTGGACTCCTCTAATATGGAACTTGGATCTTCAATAAGTGAGATATGTGAATGCACCAATAAAAAAAATATAGAATCAAGACTTCAATCTTCAATAAACATGGTGTAGAAAAAATCTTCAAGGTATAATAGGACAATGTGGGAAAGCATACGCCACATCGCTTTGTCGAGAAAATCAGTCATAAGTAGCTTTGTGATATTTCCAATAAGGGTAGTAGTGACCCATGAAAGAAATAAAGAATAAAGGTCTACAATTTTGGAATTACTGACTCACAACGTGAGGTTTGAAGGCTCACGACGTGAGGTCGCATGAACCCGAATCTAGAAATCCTTGGTAGCGGGCTCACAACGTGAGAGTTATATGCTCATGTCATGAGAACTGGGTGCACAAAAATACATTTTTGCCAATTCTTCTTCGAATAGGTGTAATGCAAACTTGTGTCCTAATAGATTAAGATCCTTCTTAACTCAATATTTCATGACTCTTCTCTAACTCGCTTCTCTCTCGATTAACCCTACACTTATTTTTAATTGTGGGTCTCATCTCTCATCTCTTAACGACCGGCTAAACACGTGTATACACTCATATCTCTAGTATTCCTTCCTAAGTTTTTTCTCTCACAAATTCTGAAAATAAACAACCAAGGCAAGTGAAAAAATAAACATAACAATCTTAAAGTTTTACAACCGAATCAAACAAACCAAAATAAAACAAACAAACCACAAATAAATTTAAAACCAAATAAAAACAAAAAGGATAAAACTAATCATCATCCTCATCGTGATGTGCTCCACTAGTGTCGGCTCCATCTCCTCTTGGCATCCATAATTCCTCCCATGTCGGTATGTAAGGGCATTGGGTAGGTATTGCAGGAGGTTGAACCATATTCATTTGTGCAAACATAGCATCGAGAATTTGGGTGTTGTAGTTCACTCCTCCTCGAAGATTATCCAAATATGTAACCACCTGACTCTGAAATGGATCAATAGGGACTCCACCTTCAAACAGTTGAGAGGATTGTTGTGCTTGTCCCCTATCTCCTCTCGCTCGCACATTCCTTCTCCCTCATGGACGCGGTTAGTGTTGGGTTGATCGTGTGGCTCCATTCCATCGTCAATAGGTATGCTCCAATGTAACCCCATGTTGATTACAACATGCATGGACTCCAAAAATCCCATAGAGAGGTTATCTCCTGTCTTGCGTGTCAATATCCTCGTCAAACATGGTGTAATAAGGCCATACGATCTCGCAAGGCGGGTAATAAAATGGCCCACATTAATAGGCTATTGGCTCTAGAAATGGCTGGTTTGCTACCCAAGTAGCTAGCCAAATGGTATGGTATGTTGAAAAAGACCTCCGCGGAAACAATGCTCAATACTAAAAACAAGTTCAAGCTTGTAACATTGTCCCCATGTCTTTCGTGGTTGATGGAAAAAGTGATCAGCATGTGAAGAAGTCGCTGAATTGGGGATCTAATCTGACTCTCGTGCGAAACATGCGAATAAAATGCCCCATTAGCAATTGTTCCACAAAAATCATATCCGGATGCACCTGAAAAATACTCCCGAACTGCAAATCTCAAGAAAAGCTCGAAAGTCGGTGATTGTGTCTCATGATCCTCATAAATTACTATACGCGATGCGAACTTGATGAGGCTGCATTCCCTATATTCGTCACTAAGGCGAACAACCAAGGTTCATGAGTAAAATGGATCGACTATGGAATATTCAAAAGAGACGGAAGCAAAGAACTCCATACATAGATCTTGGAAAACGGGCTCACTGATGGCAAACAAATTCCTCCACAAGTTACAGGTGAAAGCAAAATCATCCACAAAAAAAGTTTTTGACAAAAACTGAGCCATCCTTTCCGTTAACCCAATTTCTCCCAACTTCACCCAATCAACCCTTGGTGAAATGGCAAATTCCATGTTGTGCAGCCATCCCAGTTTGTTGGTGAAATTAATGACCACATTGGCGAGCATGTCAACGGGAATTTGGTATAGCGGGTGGCAGGTAGACACACCCCCTTGGAATTGCTCATTGGATCTTCTGGAAGCCATTTTCTGCGAAAACAATAGACAAGAAAAACAACCAAAAATATATTCATAACATTAGGCAGATTTAGCAAAACAGTAAGGCTAATACCCAGGACTCACATCGTGAGTTCGCAGTCGACAGTGTAAATCGGACATGGCAGGGATGAAATCAGACTCTATTCACTGTTGGGATTTACTAATGAGTCGCTCCTAATTACGTTTAAGAAACATGAAGTAGGGATATCACATATTTAGGGCATCTATTTCGTCTTTCAACCAAATCACAAACCCTAACCCTTAAATCAAACAAATCGGTCAAACTAAAGCACTTAAGTAGGATTTGTATACCTTAAATTGAAAATTATGTAAGAAATAAAGTTGTTTGTAGAGGAAGTTTCCGAAATCAAGCGTGGGGACCAGAGAAGTTGAATTCCATTTGTGAGTATAATATGAAATGTGGTCAAATGTTCTACTGGTTTCTTTAATTCGTGGTCCCGAATTTGAAATGCTCACGTCGTGAGCGTGAAGACTCACGTCGTGAGGATAGTCTGGGCTAAAATATTCGGATTAATATAATGCACCACGAGGTGGGCTTTTGGGTCACGAGGTGGTGTTGAAGTTTTTCATAAAAATTGTCCATTTTACTATAAAAACCTTAATTTACTTTACCACTTAATTTCCAAGGACCCCACATTTGATTTTCACCATTTTTTCTAATAATTAAGATGATTAGATGATAGATTATCCTAAAAATCAACTAAAAAAATGAAAAACCTAAACTAAATGCAAAATGAAAAGAAAATCGCAAAACAAGCTCGGGTTGCCTCCCGAGAAGCGCTTCTTTTTGTTGGAGTCATGAGCCGGATTACGTGCCACCTAACATTGAACTTTTCAGAGCGTCATTCACCAACTGTATCTTTTTCTCTTTCCACCTTCCTTTGTGCGCTTGGACTCGACAAATATATGCCTTTTTGGAGTTTTCGTTTTTAACTTTCACCTCATTCTCTTCAAGATTTCGTCCAGTTCCCTTATTTTCCACAAGTTGAGATTTTTCTTTCTCTTTATTCTTTAACTCTATAGATACCATCTTTTTCATCCACATTTGAGCTCTTTTCCTCAAAAGTAACCTCGTCCACATCACTTGATAAGTTTTCACTTTCCTCACTCACCCAAGAAGTCATATTTTTATAAGCAAATACTTCGAAAAACAGTGGAAGGGATGCTCTCGGTTTTGTATGCTTGATTTGTTGAATCTCCTCTTCCATAAGTTTTTCTAATTCCTCTAGTTCATTATCTTCATCTATGTTGAAGACTTCTCCTTTAATATCATTGCCTTGAAAACCATCGTCTATTCCAAAAGTACCTTCATCATCTCCAACTCTCAAAGTAAGCTTGGACTCTCGAATATCAACCAATGCTCGAGCAGTATTAAGTAGAGGGCGACCAAGAATGATTGGGACATTGTTGTCTTCTTTCATGTCCATAACGAAAAAGTCAATTGGAAAAACGAATTTCCCAATTTTTACCAAGATGTCTTCCACAATGCCTCTAGGGTGTGTCACTGAATGGTTGGCCATGTGAATTGTCATTCTTGTAGCCTTCAAATCCAGAAGTTTATGCTTTTGATAAAACAAGAAAGGTATTAGATTTATGCTAGCTCCAGAATTAGCTAAGGAATTCGACTTATGCTAGCTCCATAATTAACTATGCTCACTTAGAATTACCTTGGAATTCTTTTCTAACTGTTGGCGAGTATCTATCAAATCTTGTAAGAACTTCGCATACTCAGGAACCTTAGCTAACGATTTAACAAAATAGGTATTGATTGGAATACCCTTCACTTTCTTCATAAATTTCAAGTGCTCCTTTTCCAGTGGAGGGATATTTGCTCGGGACGGAAACGGTAAAGGAGGACGATAAGCTTGCAAATTGGTTGAATTTTTTTGTTCTGACCCTCCCCAT